AATAGAAGTCTATGTGTCTTCTTAAAATGGGTCTTCAATTCGAACTCTATGAATGAAAAAGGATTTAGTAGCGGAAGACTGATATCTCTTGAAATAGGACCGTCTTTGAATTGGAAAATAATTAGTTTGAATGTGTTATATATCTATATATATATATTAAAAAGATAATGTAATATTTCTTCAAGCTAAAAAGATTGTTAGATTCTCTATGGGGAGACCAACCATGCATGTGCATGAGAGAATCAACAATGATGATAAGATTGAGTCAATATGTACTATTTAACTGCATATGATTGAAGTTTGAACTGCGTGCATGCATGCATGCTATAAAAAGTTGGTTATGATCAATCATGTACAATTTACATAATTATGGAAACTTAATTGAAGGAGAAAGGAGGTAAGGACTTAGGGTGACCAAATATATCAATTAGCCTGAAACGCGTAACTAGTAGCTTGCTAGCTTAACTATTAAGGTATAGAAGAAGAGAAGCAAAAGAAAAAACTCGTATAGCTAGCATAGCGTCTCTTTTATAAAAAGCTAACGCTTTTAGTATACCCCTTTAATAATTATGATCATCGACTCATTAAATTAGGAAATGGATCGAGGAGGAGGACCATTAGCTTTCTAGCTGGGCTGTTTCTTGCATGTTGATGTTGTGTCTATTTTGAACAACAATCTAATAGTTACCATTTCCCTTTCATAATCATTTGCGCACGTTAAAATCCATGGTACAAGACAAGCTACAAATTCTTACATTCCCATTACAAAAAAACTCAATTTACTCTTTTCGTCCTAAAAATGTACAATTTATTGACTGAAAAATAGTACTCTTTTCATTCCAAAAAAAGAGTCCATTTTATTGAATTAAAATAATATAACAGAGTGAATTATTATTTTTGAACGGAGAATATACAACAAATATGACTTTCACAGTAAAGGGGTTGTAGTGAATGCATGGTATATGAATATTGATTCCTCCTTAAGTCTAGTCTATCGAGGAGGCATACTGTCTCATACGATCGAAGAATTTACAGTTCAACAAGAAAATATGTCTACAAAAAAAAAAAAAAACATATAAGAAAAATATGATGATGTCTTTTTTGGACGTTGGTATACGTTGCAAAAGCAAAAGAAGTTCTGAAAATGATTTAACTCAAGGAAATAGATTTATGTTTGAAAAGTTCATTACAGTGAACTAGTCAAAGTAGTTTGATTGCAAGAATTGGAAATATCCAGGTAGTAATTTGTTATAATCGGTCTTTTAGGGGGGTTATTGAAAAAAAATTGAAAATTTATAAACCAATGGGGATAGGGATATTCATATTGGGGGAGTCACCCAACACGTTGGAGAAATTAATAGCACAGGTGGATGGCAATAGATAACATCATAATTATGACCAAATACAGAATAGATCAGTCTCATGGTATGTCTTTTCCTATCCATACAAAAATTTTCATGCAAATTAATAGATTACAGCACCAAATTGACAATGATTATGATTTGGAGAAATTGAAAAAAAAAAAAAAGGAGAAAGGAACAAAAGAATAAGTTCCAAGACCCATGTGGTGCCTTTTTCCAATTCACCTGTGAATTTTTGTATTCATCCTCTAATTAGACAAAAATTCCAATCTAGCTGTGTGTGTAGTATAATGATAAAATTAATATTACCAAATGGGGGTGGGTTTTTTTTTTTTTTTTTATAATAAGGAGTAGTATTTGTTTTTTTATACAAAACTTATTTACCTTCTAGCGAACATTTTAGATGGAAAATTTTTCTGCATAATTTAGCACAACAGTCTAGACAAGATAATGTATTTTTAAGATTCCCCTAAAACAGAATGAACACAGCCTTAGAACTTACAACTGATTTCAAGTTTTGTCCTTTTTTAACTAGAAGCATTGTACATTTGTTGATATATGTGATCAAACTGAATCAATTGGTGACAAATTGTGAGGAAAAAAAAAAAGGAGAAGGAATCTCAAATATACAGAGTAGGGAGCTTTCGTTTTCAAGGATGATTCTTGCGATACAATTTTAAATCGCTTATGGTGGCATAGAAACCTAAAATCTCCGGATTAAATGGCTATGCCCTTTCTAGTAGGGAAACCATGATTTCCTCCTAGCTGTAGCATTGAATATATGCTTATCTCAATAATCTGTAACAATTTACAAAAAGGCTAAAGAAAATATAAAAAATTCCATTTGTACTAAGTTATAAACATTTGTATATGTTGCTGTAAGCCTATAATGTACGTGCACTTGATCAAGCCAGTAAAAGTACCTATGTTAATCATGCCAAGTACAACAATCACATGAGTTTGTAACAAAAGTTAAAATATTAGTTCAAAAATACTTACATCTTGAAATGAAACTTGCACGGTTCGTGTGGCGGTAAATCTAAAGTGTATTATATCTCCATTTAGTATTTGTTATAGATATATATTTTTTTTGTGCTAAAAGAATTCTATAATTAGTTTAATATGCATAAATGATGACTATTTTTATAAATATGTGGGAGTAACTATTTGTTCCTATTTCTTAAGCATTGCGCAGTATTTCTCGTTATATCAAACCGTAGCACCCTAAGGACTAAGGAAGCTCACCAAAACTCCTAACTCTATATTAACATTTTTCCGGTATTGGCTAGCTATGGGCCTTAGGACTGTATGATCTGACATGCTTCGCAAAAATTCTTGGTAAAGCTTTTGAAAACAACAATTTCTTAAAGTTGTTCATACGCGTTCGAATTCTGCTTTTCCTAGACAAAAAATTGGCATGCAGAATTATTTGGTTTGTGACTGTGAGAGATCTTTGGAGAAGAATAAAACTGGAAAGAAGATACTAGCTAGCTAGTAAAGCAGAAGTCAAGAGTGCAATTGTCCCTTTTCTTCCTTGTGTGTGCGTGTGTGTGTGTGTGTGTGTGTGTTTTTTTTTTTAAAGTCGTAAGGGGAAAATTAGTGGAAATGCATACTATAGTTTTAGCAACCCTCCTTTCATAAAATTATAACTTAAACAAAAGAAAAACTAGAATGAAAATATAACTGTTAGGTCTTGGTCAGGATTTTTTTTGGGGTCTTTGTCAGAATTTTATTCTATATGTAAGAGTTATTCCCTCCGTCCCATAATTATTGTCCAGTTTGAGTTTTCATTTTTAGTTCAAAATGTACTAAAAGTGAAATCTTAAACTGGACAATAATTTTGGGATAGGGGGACTAATTATTTTCATAGTCATAATGAAATACTCTCTCCGTCCCGAAATTATTGTCCAGTTTAGAGTTTTGGTTTTAGTACAAATTGAATTAAAATTGAAAATTCAAATTGGACAATAATTTTGGGACAGAGGGAGTAATATTTTTTTTATAACTGACATAATAATGTAGTAATAAAAGCTAAGCTATTGTTGAAGAGAAATATATGATTACCATGCTCAACTCGTTGAATTTCGTTTTTCCTCTAAGATTGTCCTCATCATCCTCATTACCCTTCACTGAAGTAATAATGAACACAACACTTTTGTTTACTAGGAAACAACACATTCGTGTACGTATCAAAGTTTTAAATGTCCTCACGAGTCAAGCTTTTCTTCATATGGTTTCGATGAACGAAACACTATATTAACCATTAGATCAATGATCATCGCTCCCTATTAAATGTGAAAGCAGATAATCGAAAGTGAAAAAAAGTAGAATAATGACACTCAAAACATCCTTTTCTTCTTTAATTAGACTCGTATCAAGCCTTTTCTTTTACCCAAATTTAAGGACACTGATTTTAATTTTATTATTTTCATTTTGCTTCTCGAAAGCGTTTTGGTCGCATTTCAATTTTTTTCCTTTAACTCATCACGTACGTCTCCGAAGAAGTCAATCAAGTTCCTTTTAGTTTTTCAGTACCAATTAAATTTTTTTTGCTAAGTTTCTATGTCGGAGAGGAAATCATTTGGTCTATCTTTCTAAATTTTGTCAATCAATTACCACTGGACGTTTTCCAACCCGTTTAAGATACTACATAACTATTTAATTTGTTAAGGAAAAGAGTTGAATTGTATGTAATGGTCCATCTTATGGAATTTGACAAAAGAAAACGACCCATCTTAAAGACTTAAACAATGGGAAGGGGGAATAGTGTAAGACACTATTGGATTGAAAGCAAAAGCGTCGATATCTTTCGTAGCTTTCTTCAAGCTGTATAGGCTGGCACGCATTACAAAGATACCATTAACGCGTTTCTATTTGTTACTGCTGTGTGCATATCTATCCATCATATTCTTTCTACGCACAAGAATCAGTTCCTTAGTTACGACCTAAACTTCCCTTTAATCTCTTAACTTAAATAAGTTTTAGTATTAGTCCCTTGATTTTAATAATTGGCTCGATCTAGTTCAACCAAAGTCGTCGCTCGATCTTAACTAGTTCTCACCAAATACAAGTAAAACGAATAATAGAAAATACAATAGATGTGATGAATTTATTTGGTGAAATGAATATGTACTTAATAACTATTTTGTATTTTACATTTATCAGAGCAGTTATCAGTTCGTGATTTAATTCGGTAATACATACAATGTTTCTATGATTTCTCATTTGTGAGAAAGCAAAGTAAATTTGGAAAAGCAAGCCATTTATGCAAAGGAAGATGATTAATGTGGAACAAATTGTTGCTATAGTTCGACTAATTTAGCTCTTTATGGTAATTGTGCACTAAGTTGGGACGTAGATCTTCTTTATGCATGCCTAGAAACTATTTTTAAATATGTGTAATATCTTGTCTTAAATCGCTTGTGACATTTTTTTTTATATATAAAAAGAAGAAAATGATCAAAGCAAATGCTTAATCGAAATGAAAGATGGAGGACTAATACCTAAATTACTCTAAATAGACGAACCGAAATATAGTTCACTGATTCTCTCCTACACACAGTCACACAGTGGCAATAGCTGACCGCCGACACACACAGCCCACCTTACTACCCCACCCCCCATACCCCCACCGAACTATGTACAGTTCACAAAACAATTCATGACTGAGTCCATCATCACCATTACTTCTGCCTATTATGAGTCAAATGCCCCAAACTAAGGACTCCCCCCCTCCTTTTAGTTTTATCAGTCCTCTTATAAATGCTCCTCACCTGCCTCCTAACTCGCCTATATCTCTATAACAAATTTAACAAACTTTTTCTTTTTTTTTTTTCCAATTTTTCAATTATCAACCATTCAACACTTGTCCTTTAATCCCCAAGTATTCCTTCATTCTTCCTGCCATTGCCAACACCTATTTAATAATCTTCTCTCGTTCACTCTTTCCTCCACATCCAAACACACACACACACACACACACATTAAGCTCGTTATCTTTTTAGCTCAATTTCCAGTCATTCAATTTCACGTCGGCATTTATCCCTTAACTTCATTTCTTCTTTCCCTACCACCACCAATGGCCCCATAGAACAAACGTAGCGACATTCTTTTTTTTTTTTTTCTTTTTGGTGTAACAAAATTTATTTTCCACATTATTATTACTAAGAGATAGAAATGGAAATGGAAAGGACCGCGTCGCGATTTTTCGCGATCTTTTTGTGTTTGTGTTGCTTATCGGCCCTAGTGAATTGTAATAGTAGTAGTGATAGTATTTCGGGTACCATTGATGTCAGCCAGCCGGATTTGATTCAGTCAGAATGTTTGATGGTTCCAACATCGGAATTTGTGGGTACATTGAAGTCTACATTAGACACAGTCAAGCAAGTGACTTCCATTTTCTCTAAATTCACCAGCTTCTTGGGTGATTTCCGGCTGTCCAACGCCATTTCCGATTGCCTTGATCTGCTTGATCTTTCCTCCGACGAGTTGGACCGTACTCTCGCAGCTTCTCAGAAACCTTTAGGTACATATTTTATTTTGATTTATTTATTTGTTTTTCTATTTCTGCTGTCACCTTTCACTTTTGCTTCTTTTTTTTTTTTTTTCTTTTTTCAACAGTAAACACCTGCTCTCGTATATTCTAATCAGACAACAATTTTTTTTGTTTTTTTTGTTTCAAATGACAAATTTTGCATGGAAGTCTGCCTTCACATACTTTTTGGGTTCGGACTTTCCAATCAATCGTGAAATTTTAATATGCATGATAGCGAAACTTTTTGACTTTGCATGATAGTTTAATCATCCTTACGGTCGGTAGGCCGGTAATTCTAGCCATATCCATAGTAAATGTTACATGTCACATTCATTTGCTCCAACCAATTGATCGAAATCAGTTAATTAATAAAAAATCAGTCAATATTATCTATGGTGAATACTTAAATATGCTTTGCTGATGATTCGCAAGTATCAGTTTGGTTAAAAATGAATCACTTACTATATATAATTAGTATATATATAAAATTGGCAAGGAGATGTTTGGATGTATCAAGGTTCTTTACAACTCTGTAAAGTTTAGTTCACTTTTCTGCTCTTTTATAATGTTTGCCTCACCAAAATCGTACCTTTATTTTCTTCTTCTTCTTTTTTTCTTCAAAAGAGTAATAATTAATAAAAGTCACGGTATCATTTTTTAGTTTCTTTAATGCTAGTACGTGGTATTTATTAATTTGGCACAAATAGTGATGTAATAATAACTGCAATTGTAGGGAAGAGCAATAACACAGGGAAATTGACGTCTGATTTGAGAACATGGTTGAGTGGAGCACTAGTAAATCAAGACACATGCATAGATGGATTTGATGGCACAAATGGTATTGTCAAGAACTTGGTTTCCGGCAGCATTAACCAAGTAAATTCATTAGTCGCAAACATTCTCAACATGGTACATCCGATCCCGGTTGGCGGCGGCCTTGGCGGACGTAATGGCCGGAAACTCACCGGCCGGAATACATTCCCCTCTTGGCTTGCTAAAAAAGACCGGAAACTTCTCCAAACAACTAACATTGGGGTCGTACCCAATGCTATAGTGGCTGCTGATGGCACCGGAAACTTCACTAGTATTAATGATGCAATTTCTTCAGTCCCTGACCATAGCCCAAATCGGTTTATAATTTACATCAAGAAAGGTGTTTACAAGGAATATGTGGAAATCAGCAAGAAAAAATGGAATATAATGCTGATCGGAGACGGAATTGATACCACAATTATATCCGGGAACCGCAGCTTCATTGATGGATGGACCACTTATAGATCAGCTACTTTTGGTCAGTCAAATTTTTTTTCCCCCCTCTTCATTTTGATGCATTTTCATTATTTTGCTTTATTACTGCAGCTCTTTTATATTTATCAGATGTGACAAAATTATACGCTAACTGTAACTGTACATTTCACAACGAATATATTAAATTTTTCAATATTGGTCTGTACTGGAAAGAAAAAGATATTAAGGGTCCCTCCAAATTTAAAACAGAGGTTTGACATGTGCGAGTCTTGAATAAAGGAGGAGACATTATCTTCCAACAGATTTGCTTCACTTAATTTTGACTACAGTAGTCAAAACAATTGAATTTCTTTATTAATTTCTACAAAATCAAAGTACGACAGTTGTTCAAGAAAAAAAGAAAGCATAAAATAACTATAATATGGCTCCACGTAATTTCGTTAGTCGTTGTATCATAAATTTTCACTATGGTCGTGTGACATTTGTTTAATTTTAAATTATTATTTTTATAATGTATCCTATGTTGTGAGGAGCCTACTGTACCATGTACACGGCGGCAGAACATTAAACTCCGACCAACAAGAATTCCGGGGTCCATACGTACAGCCAAATTGGCCATACTAATTTCCATCACTTCATATCATCTTCATGAATACCTCATTTTTCTTCAAACTGTTCATAAACATCCCCCACATGTTTTTCCCATAATCTCTTCCTTCATTTGGCATCAAAGAATTTAATGTTTTGCCAATTTGAGTTAACTGATTTTCTTCCTTTTTTTTTTTTTTTTTTTTCTGTTTGTTTGGTTAGGTGTGAAGGGCCTAGGATTCATAGCGCGAGACATAACATTTGAGAACACGGCAGGACCCCAAAAGCACCAAGCAGTGGCATTTCGGTCCGATTCGGATTTGTCCGTCCTGTTTAGATGTGCCATTAGGGGTTACCAAGACACGCTCTACGCCCACTCGATGCGACAATTTTTCCGGGATTGCGTAATCACCGGCACCGTCGATTTCATCTTCGGCGATGGTACCGTTGTATTCCAAAATTGTACGCTATTAGCTCGAAAAGGGTTGTCAAATCAGAAGAACACCATAACGGCACAAGGCCGGAAAGTGGCGGGTGAACCGACCGGTTTCTCCATCCAATTCTCTACCATATCGGCTGAACCGGACGCGGTTAACTCGACCGAGAACTACCTTGGCAGGCCGTGGAAGTTGTACTCGAGGACGGTGATCATGCAGTCGTACATAAGTAATGCAATCAAGCCGCAAGGATGGTTAGAGTGGAATGGTAATTTTGCTCTGGATTCGTTATATTATGGCGAGTACATGAACTATGGACCGGGTGCCGGTTTGGGTAGGCGGGTTAACTGGCCCGGGTACCATGTAATTAATGACACGACAGTGGCGAACAATTTTACAGTGGCACAATTCATTGTGGGAAATTCATGGTTGCCTACAACAGGAGTAAAGTACACAGCAGGGTTGGCAGTCTAATTTGCAGTATTTCATTTGGTTTGCTTTCAGATTTGATATTTTCCCACAACGAGCGTATATAAATTTATTAATGATGGGGTTTTCGTGAATTTAGTTTAATTTTTTGCATGAAATTTATAATTCCGTTTGAGGAATGCATCAAGTTTGTAACAGCAAAAAGATAGTAACATATATTTGTACTTAATTAATTCCCCCCCCACTCATTTTTCATTGAAGAAAATGCATGTTTGTTTCCATTTGACTTTTCTCCTTAATTTCAAACGTATTACTTTCTTGTTACGTAATAGTATTTCGTGTGGTTTTACATCTATCACATAATTTACCGATTGGAGTTATCATGGTTGAAACATGGAATACGGTGTATTTGGATTTTGAAGTGTACTAATATTATACCATGAAACAGTTAATTAATTTTACTTTGATATTTCAAGGTTGAAGTGTCGGTTGTCCACCCATCAAATTAAACTGAATTTCGCTCCATATAAAATACAAGGAACGAGTCAACTTGCATGATGAATGGAGTCATGCTGATCAGTGATCACTGACTAACGGACTAACTTAGGTCAACACACATGAACGGGTAATGCCCTTCACATATATACCAAACTCAAAGTCCAAACAACCTTTATATATAATAATAAAATAAAATAAAATAAAAAATCCAAACAACCATTATTTCGAGGGTGCTTTGGTTAAAAAAATTGCCTAGAAAAAGGAATAAAGAGATCTATTATTTTTTTTTTTGTAAAGCAAAATATGGAGATCGGATTTACAAAATCCGAACTGCTAATTAAATTAGTAAATCGAATTTTGAAAATCTGACCTAATAAAATAATATATTTTTTTCAAAAAAAATACATGTGAAAAATAATATATATTTTTTGTGGTCAAATAATGAACAATGCGAGGTCGGATTTTCAAAATCCGACCTTGTTTTTTTTAAAAAAAAAATTGAAGGGCGGGAAAATTTGAAAATTTATTTGAAAATTTGAAAATAAATGAACAGTAAAATCGGATTTTGAAAATCCGAACTTCTTTTTATTAAAAAAAATCTTTAAGTGCAGAAAACATTGAAAATTTTTCCGAGTTTTGATAGGAATTCACATTAAATTGACCTATCCACTTCCAAAAATTTTTTTTAAAAAAATTGTATTAGATATGGTAATAATAAAATCTTATATTACTAATAATTAGAAATTTGCATTAAATTGATGAAAAAATATATTACTAATGTTGTGTAGTACTATTAAAACTATTAGGAATTTGTATTAAATTAATTCATTATAATTCATCTGTACTAGTGTTATGTACTATTTATACATACTAGTGTTATATAGTACATTAATACTATTACTCACTACATATCATTGGTACTAGTGTTACTTATTAATGTTAAATCTATTAGTCATTAGATATTATCTAGATTAGTGTTACATAGTATCGTTAATACTACTACGACATAAGTATCACATATATACTAGTATTACTTATTATTATTAACATTGTTACACATCATATATCTGTACTAGTAATACAGATTATCATTAACACTGTTACACATTACTACCATTAACATTGTTATCTATTACATATTATTGTTACTATTGATACACATTACTATTAATATTGTTTCTTTATTGTTAATCATTATTTATCATCTGAACTAGTATGACATAATACTATTAATACTGTTATACATTAGATATCACTTGTACTACTGATACATATTATTATTAATACTGTTACAGATTATTATTATTAATATTGTTATCTATTAATAATAATAGATAACTCACATACTAGTGATACATATGTATTAGTGTTAGAAAGTGTTGTTAACTTCGTTACTCAGTACTAAACACACGTACTAATGCTATAAAATACCACACACGTACTAATGCTAACATCGATACATCTATTTTTGCGGATTATGTTGACACAATATCATATTTGAAATATGAATTTTCAGTTAAAGCGAATTTATAAAGAAAATCGGATTCTACAAATCTAAATTTCGATAAAATTGGATTTCACAAATCTGAATTTGCTAATACAACCGGATTTCACAAATCCGATTTTAGGAAAAAATCGGATTTCCAAAATCTGATGTAAAGGAAAATCCGGAATTCTGATATCCGATTTTTTATTTAGGTCTGATTTTGTAAATTCGAGTTAAACCTAAACCCTTAGGTCGGATTATGTAAATTCGAATTAAACCCTAAACCCTGTTAATTCGAATTTACATAATCCGACCTAAGTCGAAAAACGGATTTAAAAATCCGATTTTTTTTCCTAAAATCGGATTTGTGAATCCGTTTTAATTAACAAATTCGGATTTTTAATATCCGAGTTACGTTGAAAGTCGGATTCCCAAACTCCGATTTTATTTTATTATGTGGGATTTCGGAAATCTAAATTTTTTTCTTCCATCACCGGGTTCCGAATGTTCCTTGTATTGGTATGATCATTGCAAGAATTATAAATTTGAGATATCAGTATCAGTTTTACTTTTAAAATCCAGTCTATTTTTTTTTAGAAAAAAATTCCGTTTAATGTCAGATTTAGCAAATCTGAACTTAGTCAAAACTAAACTAATTATTGTGTTTTATATTTATATGGATGAAAAATAGTTTTTGTTAATATTGTGACATATTTTGACTAGTTTGAAAATTAGGTTATCCCTTATTTATAAAAAAAATCTTGGTGGAAGGACGGATTTTCAAAATTGAAGGGCGAGAAAATTTGAAAATCTGAAAATTTAATTGAAAATATGAAAAAAATAAACAGTAAAATCGGATTTTGAAAATCCGAACTTGGTCAAAATTTTATTTTTGGGAAAAAAAATTTAATTTTTTTCGGATATTATTTTTTTTTATTTACGAAGATAGGATTTTAAAAATCCGATTTTCTTTTAATCTTGATTAAGTTAATTAATTTTTGTGATTAACATAAAGTCGGATTTGTGAAATTCGATTTTAAGGCAAGGTCGGATTTTGAAAATCCGATCTCAGTATGTTTTTTTTCTCCAAACTTTGACCTATATTTCTCTCTACTCCTTTTTTTGAACCATTTTTTAACTCAAAAACTCATTATTTTGATACCTGTTGTTGGGAATTAAATTAAATCTATAAATACTTTAAGTACCTCTACACGTAAACTAAAAAGTTCTGAACATACTAAAGCATGTGAAATTTATTTTTGTGATCGAATTTCATCTGAGTTAGTGTTATGGCGATTCAAATTTTTGTATAAAAACATGTGAATTAGAGGTGCAACTGTGATTGATTGTTAAAATTAAGGGAAACAGAAAATTAGATGAACAGATTCACGCGGTTTTGCACGTGCAGGCTCCATTAATGAACATGAGGTAGCACTGTGGCAGTAGCACTTATGTCCCATACTTTTTCTTTTTTCTTTTTTTTAATAACCATCTTTTTAGTTTTTAGATCATCACCAGAAAATGACATTTGGTGCGCTCATTGATTGATCTTTTATAGGACTGCAAAAATTAATGCACAAAGGGGGGCCGAAACGTCTTGAACATGCCAAAATGCGCTTTGAAGGTCGAACATTGAGGGGAGATATTGCGGAGTGTTGCAGGGTGAGACAATAAAGGTTGCCAAAGTCCTGTCCTTATGCCTTGTTTGGTACTACATAGTGAAATCAATAGAGAGGACCACATTTCTGCTTCGAGCCTTCAAGTTCACGAAATTCTGGAAATTTGAAGTTTTGATTGAAGAAATTTACATTGCCCTTCCTCGACCATATTGTGTGAAATTGAGAAGTTTGTGAAATTTGGCTTGAGAAGAAAAGAAGAGGTTGGCAAGTAAGTTTAAAATGTAACAGCCGTCAAAAAGATTAGTTAAATTTTGAAAACAAGTGAGAGATACTTGTCCTATATTGACAATTATAAATCATATTAAGTAACATGTTAATTGTTTTTGAAATAAGAATCACATGTGGGATCATATAATTTTTTTGAGACAATATTTAGTTGTTATATTCTTAAACAATACATTAATACTCTCAGTCTCTCATTGTCAGGAAATCATGATGTAGTTTGATTTTTTTTAATATAAATTCTGATCCGAAATGACTATTCAGTTTGATTTTGCACCTATTTTACTAATTTGAAAAGATTCTTTCCAATGATATTATTTCTATACATCAAGTTTTCTATTCAAAAGACTCAAATTTCATACAAAGGCTGTTAATTAGTCATGTCGCTTTCCAGATTAGCGGGTCAAATTTGACACAAAGGTGACTGTTTTGTTCGAACGGGAACAAAACCAGTTTAACTGTGTGTGTCTACGAGTATGAATATGACTTGTAACTTGTAAGGAGTTTGGTATACCCTTACAAGTTACAAGTAGTGTTGGCTTCTGTCAACAACCAATGAAAGATCTAACCTCAATCCGGCTCCTATCAAATCCAAACAACTTTAGTCGATTCTTGCAAGCAAAAGAAATGGAAAGATCATTAATGGAACTTGAATATAAAGTTTCAAATGAAACATTCTTAATGACACAGGCAATTAAAATGGCAAATAACCCACTGGCACTGTCCCATTAACTAGACCACTTGCATTAAACAGAACACTAAATTCATAACCCTCCATTTTTCCAGTTACATAAATCGCATTAACACGCACCAAAATTTAATTAATTACCCCACCAAATATAAAACCTATATTATTCTTCACAAATTTTATTTTACTGCAAGGCGTTGGGCTTGCAACAAAAAATGACTTCATTCATCAAGTTTTCGATTATCTCATTCTTGGTGTTTTTGAGCTGTTTTTGGTCTCCACCCGTTACCTCCGATTCGACGCTGCAAGCCGAAAGCCTGGCGGTGCCGGCTTCGGATTTTGCCGCCTCATTGAAATCGGCAATCCACGTGGTCCAGCAGGTAAGTATGTTTGTGGCACAATACAAAAATGCCTCCAAGGATTTCCGGGTGACAAATGCCGTTTCTGATTGCCTCAACTTGCTTGATCTTTCCGATCAGGCCTTAAATTGGTCCCTCGCAGCTTCTCTGAGTCCCAACGGTATAACTTTATATTTTACTTCCTCGCAATTTCGAGAAAGTGTCTTATATTATAAATAGAATATAATTCGTTGAACTCCATTGATGATAATTGCACAAAACAATAGAAAATGGTTGCGCTCAGTACAAAAATGTAAATGTTTAAGAAGATGATCCAATTTCATCTAGGTTACTGTTATTCCATCGGAAATTTTTTAATAGGTTAACTAATATCTCCCATGATACATTATGCCGTGACATCTTATTCTATAAATTAACAACTGTAACCATGTTGATGGTGTAGATAACATCTTACCACATTCTTTGGAAATTCGTATAGGATGTATGAAATTATTTGTACTTAATTGATTGTTAAAAGTCTAATGCAACAAAAGAGGCTACTGTAACAACAAAAAAAGTCTAATGCAATGAGATGATTCGGTCAAAATTTGAACTGACGATTATATAATGGCAAAAACAGATTATATATGAAATTTGAGATGTGTCACACTCTCTAATCAATTAAATTAAAAAGACTAAAAGTTTCGGTTCTTTTCAGGTTCGACGGATGTTAGTACAGGGGAACTGAGTTCCGATTTAAAGACGTGGTTGAGCAGCGTGTTGGCAAATCACGACACCTGCTTAGAAGGTTTCGACGGTACCGACAATGGCACCATCAAAGGAGCATTAGAACCAAAACTCAATGAAATCCCTACATTAGTCACCAACATCCTTTCAAAGGTCCAGCCGCAAACCGACTTCAAGCCAAATTTAGATGCTCACGACCACAAAAAAATTCAAGTTTCATCTTGGTTCCAGCGAAAATCCCGGAAACTCGGGGCTAGATATTCCGACGGGATCGCGGCGGACGTGGTGGTGGCTCAGGATGGTACGGGAGACTACAGTAGCATCCAAGAGGCGGTCGAAAGATCCCCCAACTATAGCTCGGAGCCTTACGTGATATACGTCAAGAAAGGGATTTATAAAGAAAATGTGGAGGTTGAGAGCAAGAAATGGAACATAATTATTGTTGGAGATGGCATTGACGAGACGGTTGTTTCCGGTGATCGGAATGCTGCAGATGGATTTAAGGCCTATAGTTCTGCCACTTTTGGTACGCCATTCTACTAATTACTCCCTCCATTCCAAAATAAGTGTCGTGCTACACTTTGCACATATTTTAAGAAACTCTTAAATAGGGTAATAAAATTACTTGAATATTCTCAACCAACCCCATTATAAACTTATCCACAAATAGCATCAACTCTTTTGAGGGTAATTTTGAAAACTTTTGACAAATAGTGTATTAAAATGTGAGAACGACAATTATTTTAAAATTTCTCTATTTTGTTAAAACGACACTTATTTTAGAATGAAGGGAGTAATTAATTTCATTTTCTTGTACATATTCTTACAGAAAACTTGTAAATGTTGGTGAAGAAGCATCATTAGGTTAAAATTCATTTTAACCTAAATGTTGCTGATCTAGCAATATAACGATGAAGGTTTTGCTCAAATTAAATTGTGCAGTTTTGTTATACACTAATCTTTTGCTTCATAAAAAAAATTAAATTGCGGAACATGTCAAAAATCATTGAAGGGAAAAAAAAAATGTTACACCATTATATGAAGACTTGAAAAGTTAGTATGCATGCATGATTAATTCCAGATGTGAAGGGAAGAGGATTCATAGCACAAGACATTACATTCGAGAACACGGCCGGACCGGAAAAGCGTCAGGCGACGGCGTTTTTATCCGACGCGGATTTATCCGTTCTGTTCAGATGCGCCATAAGGGGTTACCAAGGATCCCTCTACGCCCACACCAACCGCCAGTTCTACAAAGAATGCATCATAACTGGCACCGTGGACTTCATCTTTGGCCGGGCCGCCGCCGTGTTCCAGAACTGCCAAATCCTGTCCCGGAAAGGCCAGTCCCACGTGAAGAACACCATAACTTCCCAAGGCCGGAGCAGCGAGACCGAACAGTCGGGATTCGCCATCCAGTTCTCCAACATCACCGTCGAGTCGCCCGACGTCGCAAAAACCACGCAGACGTACCTGGGACGGCCGGCCAAGGCGTATTCGACGACGGTGATCTTGCAGTCGTATATTAGTAGCGCGGTTTCGCCGAGAGGGTGGCTTGAGTGGGATAAGGATTTTGCGCTGGAGACTTTGTATTATGGGGAGTATCAGAACAGTGGACCCGGGGCGGCTTTGGATAACCGGGTACGGTGGACCGGGTTTCATGAGATTACTGATCCCAAGGAGGCCGGCAATTTCACGGTGGCTGAATTGATTGCCGGGAATGCTTGGTTGCCGTGGACAGGGATTAAGTACGTGGCCGGACTGGGTCCTTGATTGATTAAGTTTATCATTATTTTAGGCATTTTTAGACGAGAAAATATTTTTTATTCTTGTTATATTATTCATTGCTTGATTGAATTATTCGTTGATGAATTAAGGATTACTATTCCAGTATCCAATAGTATGCACCGTAATTGTCACTAGTATGTTTGCTCTTTAATCGATAGCATCTATTTATGCTTAATAGCTTCTGCCAAGGCTCCTAGCTAGTCAAATAATCACATGCACATTGGAAATCATAGAGTGAAAATGAAGAGGGAAATTCTAAAGTATTCTTTTTTGTCTACAAAGCCTCTCCTTACACCGTCAATGGAATTCAGTTTTTGGAGGTATATTTATTCTTTTCGGTACATTATTTCTACGCACTAGTTGTCTATATGAAACAATTTTTCCCAATTAAATCCCAATTATGACCCATCTTAATTTTATTTGCGAGAGAAATCTTTTCCAACAAATCTAATCAGGATTCGAGTATGAGTTCTCCTAAGATGTAACTTTGTTCCTTATGTTCGAATTTGAACTTAAGTCAAATTTAACAAGACTTAATCTTTACCACTTAAATGAATGAAAGTATGAAACGCGTATTAGTTCGAAATATCTAATTTTTAGGAAGGAAAAAAAAAAGGTATTGGCTTGCGCGTAAAAGTTAAATTCACATTTTTAATCAATGTCGAATGAAGACAACATTTGGATCAACCTTTCGACCTTTGTTAGTCAATCCCCACTCCCAATTAGACGTTTTTGGTCCATCTAATATATGTCACGATAAAATATATAAGAACTTCTAATACATTTTCTAGAACGAAACTGGACAACATATTTAATTTCGAATACTGAAAATCTTTATCATGCAAAGACGAAGCGAAGGGAAAACCGCCGCAACATTAGCTAACAGCCTAACACCTACTTTTTTTTCTTTTAACAGAATTACCAAATGGGAAGTACTTCCTCTATATGTTACTTCTTCCATAGAGTACAGCAATTTCTAGAGGTTAATGGTTCGTGCATTGTAGTTTCTAGAGATATATGTATAAAAGTACTTACCACTTATATATGCTTCTTCGATTTACATGTCCAGTACTACAGGGAATATGGGGGAAATGACATCTTCTAAGATAACAGAACTATTGCTTATGGTTACTTTGTGCTTGTGTTCATCATCACCCGTAGTAAGATGTAATGATGATACTAAGATTTTGGTTTATCAGCCAAATTGCTTGAGGGTGCCTTTTGATCGTTTTGTGGCGTCGGTAAACTCCACAATTCACAGAGTTGGGAAGATGACCTCTTCTTTTGCGTCCGAATCATATAACATTTCAAGAGACTGTCTCAGGGTGTCCAATGCTCTTTCTGATTGCCTCGAGTTGCTTGATACTTCAGCCGATCAATTAGGCTGGACCTTGGAAGCTTTACTCAATCCTCTACGTATATATAATTCATATTTTTGAAAGAAATAGTTCATTTTGCTGTACTATTTCAACAAAATATGATAAACTATTATTCTGAGACGGAAATAGTAAAATATTTACTAATCACTAACTTTATTGTTTTCCTATCATATATCGGACAGGTACAAAAGTTGGAACGGGGGATTTGAGTTCAGACTTGAGGACATGGCTAAGCAGTGTTATAGTCAACCTAGACTCATGCAAAGAATTATTAGACCATGGCCGCAGCAACAACAACAGCAAAATCTCATTGGGAAAAGAACTCAAAAAAATCGCCTCATTAGTCTTACACACACTTGCAATGGTGCATCCGAATCGCAATGCAAATGATGAAACACAACAGCGTCCTTTTTGGCTTGAACTTAGACGCCGGAAACTCGTTCAGGCCTGTAAAGAATCCGCCAATGCCGTGGTGGCGTTGGACGGTTCCGGACAATTTACTAGCATCAATAAAGCTGTGAAATCCGCGCCGAAGCATTCCCCGGAGCCATTTGTGATATACGTGAAAAGAGGCGTTTATAATGAGTATGTGGTCGTCAAGAAGAATAAATGGAATATTGTTATGATCGGGGACGGAATGGATGCTACAATAATTACCGGTAGCCGAAGTGTCGCCGACGGCCTCAAAACCTATCATTCAGCCACCTTTAGTAAGAGAGTCCTTTCCCGTTGCTCTCTTCCTCCCACAAAAATAATCTAAATTGTATTTTGTGATTTGTACTATTTTGTGATTATGTATGTCTGAAATGCTTTTCCAGGCGTGAAGGGCCGAGGTTTCATAGGAAAAGACATGACATTTGAGAACACGGCCGGGCCGGAAAAGCATCAAGCCGTGGCGTTCCTTTCCGATTCCGACCAATCCGTACTATACAGATGTAGCTTCAGGGGTTACCAAGACACTCTATACACCCACAACAACCGCCAGTTCTACAAAGAATGCGTGATCACCGGAACCATCGATTTCATCTTCGGCCACGGCACCGTAGTCTTCCAGGACTGCCAGGTCATCGCCCGGAAAGGGCTACCGGATAAGAACAACACAATCACGGCTCAGGGCCGGAAATCTTTGGGACGCTTCTCGGCTTTCTCATTACAATCATGCAACATCACGGTGACGCCGGAAGCCGTGGCTGCGTCGGTGGAGACGTACCTCGGCAGGCCCTGGAAACGGTACTCGACAACGGTGGTGATGCAGTCGGAAATCAGCGCCGGGATCTCGCCTCAGGGGTGGCTTCCCTGGTCCGGGGAGTATGCCCTTGATACGCTGTATTATGGAGAGTACATGAATGTTGGGAGTGGGGCCGATGTGAGTAAACGAGTCGGGTGGCCGGGTTTTCATGTGATTACGGATGCCGCTGTTGCGGAGGGATATACAGTGGCAAATTTGATTGCTGGAAATGCGTGGTTGCCTTCAACAGGCATACCATACAAAGCAGGATTGTGACACATTAATTTTTGTGTATTATTATTATTATTTGTACAAGAGAATGGGAATTATGGTTAGTGGTCAACTGTGTGGCACAAATGATGAATCAGTTGATTATATCTTCTTTAGATGTGATTATTGCTCAAGGAATTTTGACAGGTTTAATTGAAGCAGTAGTGTGGAGCGAATAAATTGCCTCACATACATCAAGATAGAGTACTCAATCGTTATTGCAGCAGTAGCGTTTTCAATCCGTGAGAAAGAAAATTTTGTTTCAAAATTTTGTTTGCATCCATAATAGTTTGTGTACATCACATCTGGGCCAGAAAGAGATAATCGAAAGTTTGGTGCTGCTCAGATTTAGAAGACATCTAATATTAGATTCAAGGAGATCCAGCAAGAGGGTTCATGTCGAAAGTTGAAAAAGTAGATGTGATCTGATTAGAAAAGTTAGGAATAGAGTTTGAACAAAAAGAAAAGATGTAAAGAGTCCAAAGATTTGTGGTGTCCTAGGTAAAGTGTGATACTCTGTTCAATTTTTATAAGAGTTAGGCTTATTAATACATTTACCATTTTACCCGGGGGAAGGGAGGAAGAGAAGAAAAATAAAGGAAACAAGCTTTCATGTGTTAGGATTAGACATTTTACCTACTGGAATTGTATTTAATTTTAGGGTCCAAGTATTGTGAGGAAATCTTTAGATCTAAACTACTATCAGGACTTTGGCAAGATGCTTCCTCCAATTCGAGCTCTTAGCATTGTTTGGTTGATTAGCTAGAGAATTGCATTTCCGTCAATATTATACAGTTCAACATGCGATTACATTAACAAAGCGAGGGTTGACCTATACATTTTTGAAATAAATTTCTCGCTTCACTTAGCGTGAAAACAGTGACAAGTGACTACTGTCGTATAATTTTTCCCTATAATTTGAGTCTTAATATATCGAAAGAAAGTACTTCTGAAGATTCTTTTACTTATGTCTGTTGAGCATTTCGGCAAAGTAATGTTTATAATTCGATTTTTTTGCTACCGATGTGATGCATTTAATTTCCTTCTCTTTTTTTTTTTTTTAATTAAGTGATAAAAAATTGAAGTGTTCGTTGCATTTGGCTCTATATTATTATTATTATTATTATTATTATTATTGTTATTATTATTATTATTTGGAGAGAAAGATTCTTAATATTTATCATTCTAATTAAGGTCTAGGGTATATAATATTCGGTTTCAGGAAAAGATAAGATTTCATTGCATCTTATGTAAAATTATTAATTGAATAAAATATAGAGTTAATTGGTTCATACATGTAGTTTTTTAGGGTATGCTTATTAATGGTGAATATCTTCGACCTTTACCAATTTTTGTTCTTAATACTTAAATTGAAAGATACCAAAGCTCGACTAAAAAAAAAAATTTCCAAAGCAAACCCCTAATCGCTTGCATCTTGTTATATATATATATATATATATATATATATATATATATTTCACTGCAGGGAATATAGAGAGTTGGAGAAATGAAACTATACAAACAAACGAAAGGCGAAAAAAAGGAAGGAAGAAGAAATGGCCTCCTCTTCTTTCAAGCTACTCGAATCATTGTTGGTTGTTTTGTGCTTGTATTCATCTTCTTCCTTTGCAAGTTCTGATGATATAAAGAACTTAAGTTCGGTCGATGCAAATTACTTGAAGGTGCCAATTGATCGTTTCGTTTCAACGGTGAATACTTTGGGAAGGTGAACTCTCATGTGTCCAAATTCCACAAAAACTCACAAAGTTGGGATGATTGTCTTGAGTTGCTTGATATTTCGGCGGAGCACTTACCCTGGATGCTTTACTCAACCCAATGGTATATATTTGTTAACTTTATGTTTATTTGATTATTTTCATTTTTCTTCTTCAAAACGGTTTTTTTATTTTTTTTAAGAAAAACCAAGTTTCAGTTTTGTCTTGTGGTTATTATTGTCTTACGTGTACCTTTCTTAGATGGGTAAGTTATTATTTTGCTTGTGTTTATACATGTTTATTAAGCATGATTAAACGTTTATTACATGTTTAATTTTAACCATTAGAAACTCCTTCCTACTGATCTGCTCAATCTCGAGTAGGTATATTAATTTCCTAGGCCAAATTGGGGACTTATTAATACTATTTGTTGTTAGGCCATCTTCGTATCTATTCGATCCATAGTTTTGGACTAAAGATCTCTTAAATTATAATTTTATAACACAAAATCACCATATTACATACGTGTTCATTTTCACAGTAGGTATTATAACCTACCATGGGATGAACGCTTACTAGTCATGTGTCAAAAATTACGGTGAGTAATTTAGGAAGTTCAACAGAATTTTTGAGAGATCTTTTGCCGACGGTATATGGCAAATAATATTAAAAACCGGGGTTTCATTATTTAGTGCCCCTATTTTTTGGTATGTTAAAGTGTAAATGAAAATATTATCGTTGTCTCTTTTATTGTACCCTAAAAACAAGTGTTAATCATTAATAGCTACCTTGAATTCTCTCCTTTATAATCTAATTATTTTCCACAGTATGCCACAAAATTTTCTTTTATTAAACTTACTAAGTAGAAAATCATGACTAATATTATTTTCAAATCAATCGGACAGATACAAAAGTTGGTACGAGGGATCTAAGTTCTGATCTAAGGACATGGTTAAGCAGTGTTCTAGTGGATCTAGACTCATGCAAAGATTTAATCGACCATGGAAACAACAATAAGAACAACAAAATCTCATTGAGAAAAGAACTCAAAAAAGTCGCGTCTTTAGTCAAACACATTCTTGGCATGGTGCATCCAAATTGTCATTCACAGCTCCGGCCTTCTTGGCTTGAACTTAGAAGCCAGAAAGTCATTACGAACTCTATTGAATCGGCCGATTTAGTGGTGGCATTAGATGGCTCCGGCGATTTCTCTAACCTCAACGAAGCCTTGGATTCCGTCCCGGATCGTTCCCCGGAGCCATTTTTTATATACGTGAAAGCAGATGTTTATATGGAGTATGTGACTATGGAGAAAAGTAAATGGAATATTGTTATGATTGGGGATGGAATGTATGCTACAATCATCACCGGTAGCTAGAGTGAGTACAACAGCCACTCAACATTTGTTTCTGCCACTTTCTGTAAGAATCCCCTTCTCCAATACACTTTTTTCTTTTTCTTTTTTTTAGGGTAAAAACCGTCAATATTTTTTATTCACATGATCAGAACAAGTTCAGGACAAGAATTCTTTAGTACAGTTTGTTATGATTATTTATACCTCTATCAATAAGGTCAAGTTTTTTTTGTTATTATAATATTGTATATATGGTCCTAAATTTCATATATGTAGTACCTACATCTACCCCAATTATGTCATGGGCATAGTCCAAATTTGTTTTAGGTAACATAACACCATATCGAACTTATACAAGATGTATCAGTTAGCATTCGAGTAGTATTTCATGTTTGGAGGACTAGAATAACATATTTATTCGTATTGAAAAATACTAACAGATAATGTTATTAGTCCTAACTATTTTTTATTTTTTTACTTTTTTATATATCAGGTTAATTTGTTTCACCTTCAAAATGAATGAATCATTTTGATCAAACTAAGTATAGGTCGTGCCCTGTGTAGAGTAACAATATCACTACATTTTGCAAAACTAACTTATTCTTTTTTTTCCTGAAATGTTTTCCAGCCGTAAAGGGCCGAGGTTTCATCGGAAAATACATGACATTCGAGAACACAGCCGGACCGTAAATGCACCAAGCAGTTGCATTCCTTTCCGATGCGGATCTCACCGCCCTATACAGATGCGGCATTAGGGGTTACCAAGACTCCTTGTATGCCCACAAGAACCGCCAATTCTACAAAGAATGCCTGATCACCGGCACCGTGGATTTCATATTTGGTCACGCCTCAGCTGTGTTCCAGGATTGCCTGGTCATCGCGCGGAGAGGCCTACTGGAACAGAAGAACACCATCACGGCACAAGGCTGCATGGAGGAATCGGAAGTCTCGGGATTCTCATTCCAATCGTGCAGCGTCAGGGCATCGCCAGCGGCCACGGCCTCGGGTGTGGAGACATTCCTCGGAAGGCCTTGGAAAGCGTACTCGACGACAGTGTTCATGAAGTCGGACATAAGAGCCGATATTTCACCTCCAGGGTGGCTTCCCTGGTCGGGGAATGACGGGCGCGATATGTTGTATTATGGGGAGTACGAGAATCATGGAGGCGGGGCTGACGTGAGTCAACGGGTGGATTGGTCGGGTTTTCATGTGATTACCGATTCAACGGTGGCTATGCAATTTACGTTGTCAAATTTCATTGCTGCAGACTCGTGGTTGCCTTCCACAGGGATCCCATATACTCCTTCATTGTGAGTTTAGGTTGACTTTTAGTTAGTGTGTGTGTGTGTGTGTGTGTCTGTGTGTGTGTTCGTGTATGTGTGTATGTGAGTTTTCCTCTCATTCATAAATGGACTTTGTCGGAGGTCAGAGATAATTTTATGGTAGTTCCCTTCTTTTCACAATGAATTTTACGGTAAGTCAAATTGTTGGTAAAGAATCTATGTTGTTTTATTTAGAGTTATTTGGAGATTATAGACAATGGTTTTCATCCATGAACCATAAAAATGCAATGCGCTCATTCATTGGTTTTTTTTTTTTTTGGGCACAACATGGTGTTGGTACAAAGTTTTATAAAGTATGGCATTGATCATTGCATCAAACAATTTTTAAGATTCCCCTGATTGAAGAGGGTTTTAGTTTGGAAGCAAGATTTCGGAACGCTTTGTTTTCAAAATAGTGGGATGTTGATCCATAATTACCCGTGGAGGTTTAAAGCCGAGTTGCTAAAATTTTCGTCTATTTTCATCATAAGGCTCATTCGTACGGAGAGTCAAATGCAGTGGACAGATTTTTTAACCTAAAGTTCTACGCAATTGTCCAAATCTTTGCAGTTTTAATCTGTGGCAACAGCTGGTGCAGACCAAACAGTTCGTTTGTGGGAGGATTTTGGCCAGCCCCTAGCTGATAAACCAAGTAAAGGGCTGGATGATATATTATCTTACAAGACCAGCCCGCTTAGGTAGTTAGACCATTTGAAGCTTTAGGTTATAAAATGCTGACAACTATGCTCTCTCCATGTTGTTATTTATAATAGCCATCATCAGAGATGCCCCCTGGAGCTCTTCATCTTTTTTGGATCTTTGGGACATCATACCAACGAGTTAGATAGATCTAAAATAGTACGAAATGCTATAATGTTTTCTTTATTAATCAAGTTTTGTAAGGAAAAACTATATTGTAAGCCCTACAATGTAAAACTTTTAATTTCTCATGGTAAGTCTTAAGCACGTTGTGCACTTTTTATTCTAAACACTTAAATTGGAGTGTAATCTCAAGCTATATATCAGTTAGACTTACCAAATATTCTTAAACGAAGTATTTTACCTGAAAATACTAGTAAACATGAGGTTGAGAACAAAAAACTTCCGATGAGGTTACACGAATATTTACATGTATAAGATATTATATTAATCCAAGAGACTTTGTTTGACCAAAA